GGAAATCGATCGACATGTACCTACGATTAAATAACAAAGAGGATAATCTTTTCAATGAGGCCAAGTGCCATTCCACCCCTTGCCCAGTTCTCTCTCTCTTTCTCTCTCTCTCTCTCTCTTTCTTTCTCTCTCAAACCGTGGTGGATGGTATTGCGATCGATTCCATAAACTCCCACCTATAATTGGTGTCTCCACGAAGACAATGAGCACCCGTGCTTTTGTCGTGTTGCCTGAAACGCTCGGGAACGATAACGTTACCTACGATACTCGTTATATCACCGATGATGCGCAGCTCTCCTCGCTCGGGGAAAGTGGTGTCGCGTTAACTCACACGAGCGTGAAACATATTTAATCAAAGTTTTATTGTGTCAAAATCTCATCCTTCCTCGGAGGAGAAGGCTACCCATACTCGCGACTAGAGAAATTACGCTCTGTATGCGAAAATCGCGCCCATCATACTTGTCCTCATCTCCTTGAATCTGTAATTTTCATTACGGTGAAAGAGCGAAGAATTACGGGGAGGGGATGTTTCGAGCAACGACAACAAAATCGAGCACACGTCGGGATCTCCTCGACGTGAACTGTCGCAGTCTTTACAAGAGCGTTTCTGCGAGAAATAGCTGGGGAAGGCTAGCTCGCCGATTAATGGGCAGACGTATAGTCAGGTGACCGGCTAATCGATTTTGCGCTTCGGCTCGTTTTTCTCGTACAAACGTCGTTGCGTGGTTCCGAGAACGAGACCTCGATCTCCGACGGGAAAACTCGAGTCGCCAGCTCAACTCTGCTTGCCTTTTTGCAAACAAATATTTTCTCGAATGTGCGTAATCGCGGCATAGGCGTGAACGAGTCCGGACATCTCGGGATTTAACAGCTACGATCCAGTTAAAGCCAGTCGGATCCAACCGACCTGGTGGAAGCATTTGGAATGTCACGCGGATTGCTTTGGGACCTGCGGAGAGCTCGCTCAAGCTTGTTCGCCCCTCAAAACGCGGCTCGGAATAACGATCGAATGTCTCTTGAGTAATGACAGCGAAAGAGAGAAGAGAGTTGCAATTAATTGCGAGAGAGCAACTTTCTCGACCACGGCGGCTGATGATTGCAATTTCTTCGCGTCTTTTGTATTTTTCCTTAAATATTTCTGCATATTTGAATTTTCGCTCTAATCATGAAGAATTTAAGACGCGCACTGTAATTGTTCTTGATTTCCCGACGATGGCCAGCCGAGTATCTCATTCTCGGTATATGTTCCCGTATCTTTTGCACGTAACACGACGCTTTTTCACCGAGGAACCCTGAAAAAAAGAGGCGTGGAGGCTCCCGACGGGATATTTCTTACGTCGCAAGAAATATACCGAATGAGGCCAAACCACTACGAAGAAAGAATTGCGGCCGATCGATTGAGCAACACGTGGTTCAGGTGTATCAATGTTTGCCGTTAGGCTAAAGTGGACGAAACCTAATTTATATGGACTGCCTTGCGCAATTGTCAAGAATACTTGGCGCAAATATTTGCGCGCGATGTGACGTTACGAATTGTATGAAACTGTATGTAACCGCGGCGCGGAGTCTCTCGAAGCTCGCTCTGATTTTCTAATTTTCCTGTACTCGGTGCTCGGGAAATGACTAGAAGCTCTCCGATAAAGTGAAACGTAACTCACGGCGGAGGAAACTTCCAAAGACGGAACTTTCAAGTTTACTCGACCAAGCTCGATTCAGTGTCGATCAATTGACACACCAACTTTGGCGGTAACTTAAGAATGACTGCGATTTTTCGAGTACGTGTCAAAAACATTCGAAAACGACATATCTCAATAACGAAGAGCAAAAACGAAATAAATAACTTAAAAGTTGAGGATATTAGATTATTAGATTAGGTGAGAAGTAAATCACCTTATTGATAAAGAGAAAACAGAAAGAGAGAATATCAAGTATCGACGCTAGTTACGTCATTAGAGTCTATAAAAGAAGCTATTTCTGCTAATAGCGATAAACGAAAATGCGATTCGTTCAAATTTATGCAAATAAATTGGTCACGAAAAAATTGGCATATCCGCGTGAAAAAATTGGGCGATATTGGATGCATCAGTTCTCGTTAGCGATTCTATAAATATCCGATGTACTGAACGCATTATCATCTTCCTCCACGTCGCGAACCCTTCTTCGTGACTGCAGTAAATGCCAGTTCGCATTTAGAGCGTGCATTATCGCGGTTAAAAATAATACGTTAACCGCGTGTTTTTCGACAGAGCTCGGAAACAAGGAAGTTTACTTCCCTCGAATATTCTTAACGCATCGAACATGTAGCAAACATGTAGCAAAATTGCAAAATATATATCTACATATTTTGTGTCACAATATTTCATGCAATATGCAAAAATTAACTGGTGATTGAAAAAAAATACACTTGCCGATCAAAAAATTCATACGTTTGGCAAAGAAAAACATCCCATGTTGCGTGACGATATAAAACCACATCGGTAAAATTCACTTAGAGAGAGAAAAAATTTGCCACCACGATCGGGAACTCGATATGGTGGCAAATTAAGCGAAAACCGGGGGTTCCCGAATTGCGCGTTGTGATTCTCCAGAGAAATCATGAGCTACTTAAAGGTATGAGGTACAGCAAAACTGGCTGTTATTGAAAATTTATTCGCTTTATTTATACAATTAATGTTCACTTGAATTTGGCCGCAAAATGGGAGAATTATGCAAGTCGACAAGAAGATGATGGCTGATCGCAAAATTTGAGAACCCCGGGGAATATTTATATATATTTCGCTTTGCTCATGATTGTTTTGACGTACACAGAGATTCACTCACGTTTCATGAAATTTTATTACTAAACGGGACAAGAATCATCGTCGGGATAAACTTATTGCGCGGTTGATTATAATTCGAATGTACTCGGAGATATATTATTGTTACTATAATATGTATGTTTACAACTTTACGATTCTCGAGTTGGCTTGCTACCGATGGATAAGAACGATAAATACTGGATACATAAAATTCCGACAGTTTTCTTATCGATAATCTTATCTCCTCTTACATAATAATATTACATAATCGTGGTCCAAGATATGTGTTCCTGAAAATCGACTAATAAGATAAATATCGTTTGTTCATCCTGTTGCGCGTATTTCGATTCTAAAGATAACGTGATGCTAACGCGTAAGCTCTCGCATCCTTGTAACCCTAAACATTTGTCGATACGTTAGATTGACCTTTTTATCGTGACTATGTTTTGTTTTCTGACGAATTTAATCAGTCGTTAGTTGCAGTTACAAATTACACGATAAAATACGGCCGTTACAGAATTAATTAGCAATATATCAAATAGCGCGGGATCATTATTCACATAGTGGATAATATGGTTGCGGTAATTATTCGCCGTTTTTATGATATTTGAAAGACATAAAGCGCACCTTTATCAACTGGACTTACGAGTCTTACTAATTACGATTACTCTCTAAAGATTGCTATTTTTACATTATAATACGATATAGTCGTGTTTCTTTCGAGGACACACAGCGATCAGTTGATCGCTTAATACTTCATATTCAAGAAACTGAGGTCGCCCGCAGGATTTCTCATTTTATTCATTATACTAAGGATCGTGATTCAGGTAGAACTTTCTTATAAAGAGAGTAATTAATATAATTATACTACTAAATACACTTGGTACACATTGCACTTGGACGGACATTGGCATTCGGTCCGTACAATTAGGCTCGTCGGAAAGAAACACTGGTAATTCTTCATCTAGAAGTTGACGATTAACAATATTTATATGTATAAATAAAATCTCTCGATCTCGGGGGATAATCGACGCAATTGTTGGGAAGATTGACACTCTACATATTTACAGTTATAGAGAGTGACATGCCGCCAATTATGATATACTCTGTATACAACGATAACAGCAACAATAACAATAACGATAATCATAATACTTATTGATTTGAAGAAAAAAAATCAAAAACGTTTTGATATATCATCAAGGATAAAATTATACTATATGAATATAATATATTTATATGCAGAACTTTTGCTCGTAGCATCGCGTGCATTAATTTGCGTGCATCAATTTTCATAATTGATTAATATCTCAATAATTACCGTAGTTGTGTTTGCAAAATAACAGAGAACTCTTCTCTTTAATTTGATGAGTTCTACTTGCACACGAACGTTGCTACATTTAAGTTGGAACATCCTGAATAAATAATACCTGTCCGAATAGCATGATACGTCCGAAAATTATCCTGGATATATATTCTAGGATGCACATTCGGGACATTTTGGGATATTGCAGGATATCCTAGACATGTTCAAAGACATCTTGTGCTACCGGAGCATATCAGATGCAAGCAATTGCGTAACTCGCTAATAACATAAAACAATTAATGAAAAAAAGAAGTTGAAAATATTAAAATTTTTTTTAAACACATTTAGTTACGCTACGTACATGCATTACGTTAAATTACTAAAAAATTAAAAAATGTATTAATCTCAATATAAAACCTCCAACCAGACACGTCTCTCCCTTATTTTTGGTCTTTGATACACCGCAGACGTTCAACGAATAATATCGTTACGTTTTATTATATATAAAACGTCATATATATATATATATATATATACATATATATTTATACATATATGTACGCATATATGTGCTGTATATAATGTTAAATATATAAATGTTTGTTACACGTAGTTTTAGGGATGCTCAAAAGCAACGTCATCTCTATTTAAGAAGTTTGTGAGAAACGTTCCACTGAATATTAAAAAGTGCTACTGGTTAAAAAGTAACAGTCAATCTGATAAATTTCTTTGTAAATAAAATCCAATAAATAATAAAAAAAAAACGTTATATATCGTCCTAATAAATGATAAGAATATTTTTATATTCTTGCTAATCTCCCTCTTTCTCTCTCTCGATATATACACGTGGCATTAACGGTAGCGGAAACTTTTTCATTAGTAAAGATGTTTTTTTCTCTTTTTGAGTACCCCTAAAATATGCATCGACAAAATGGAATCATCATTAAGACGAGTCACGAGTCAACATGAACGAATTTCAACTGCGACCGCTCGTTTATAGCTAATACAAGTAATCTAGACTCCACATATCACAAATTATTTTCGCCCCATTCTTCTGGTAACGATCAGTTCTTCCAGTAGTTCTCCGCAAAACGTCTCTCGTCTCTCTCTCTCTCTCTCTCTCTCTCTCTTTCTCTCTCTCTCTCTGTTCGTCAGCTAACTCAGCGCTAACTTCAGTGTTCTAACAAAATAACAAAAAAAAAAAAGAAAATACACATCCACCGTGTTTCATTGATTTCATGATCACTTTGCCCTACAGCCGTGCACAATAGTCTTCCTTTCTAGTTGAGGATGTCGTGTGAGAGAGCTTCTGCCTCAGATCGAGCGACGTTAGATGTTCTGCATCTCCGTGAAGTCCGTTCTTCCTTCGACTGGCGATTGACGAAAACTGCGCTCTTCCCCGTTCTTTCACGAATACAAAAGCGCTCCCGAATCCAAATCTCTCAGTTCTTCGCGTACACATGTGCACCAGCCCGTTAACCGAACAGCTTCGTCGCCCTAAACGGAGTCCACCTTTGTAGGTCCTTCTCGCAGATATTTCACGTCGACTCCAGCACACCGCCGGCGAGTTTCGTCGCGTAGAGATTTAGTGCCTTGAAGAAAAAGTTCCTTTTTAGATCCCAACCGTTCTAAAGCGCGACTGCCACGATATGTCTTATGCGAAAGGATAAATTTACAATTCACTCCCCCGCTGAATAAGACAAGACTCACAGGATGGCTCACATAGATATACGCGCTCACGCATTGCTAGGATTACTAGGATCGCCAGCGGACAATCACCTTGTATATGAATGCATACTGCTCCTTCGTTTGAACTGCGCCAGCACGGTCTCTCCTGATGGTGTAAACGACCCTCGGCACGTCCACGGTCCTCGTAATTTCATATTGTCTAATTCCTAAGTCGAGGGCTATTAGCGTGCCGGTGCGTCCTGTACCAGAGCTGCAATGGACTACGATAGGTCCAGGACCTCCGCGCTGTAGTGCTCTCGCCTCGAGGAGCACCGCTATTAGACCCGCGCCGTCCGTCTCGACGCCACTCACCGGCCACAGGTACCAGATGTGGAACACCTCTCGGAACGTATTGTTCTCCAGGTTCTGCAAAGGATACTTCGTTAGTCGCGCATGCCAAAATATCTTACTGTCTAAATCTGCTCGCGCTCAAACGGAACTCCTCAAACGGACTCAAGCGGCAAGAAGCTTCCGAGGAAGATCGGTTTCTTCTCAGACGTTTCTTTTCAGACGTCTTTCAGACACTACTCGAGACGTTCTTGCGTCAGATTTTTCCGCGCCACGCTACATTTCGCTAGTTTCTCATTGACGAGGCTACGCTCCAACGCGTTAAACAAGATCGAAAGTGCCGATTAATTTCAGACCCGGGACAAGTGGAAATTGACGGAGCGACTCGTACCGCTCAGCCGGGTATTACGGAATTATCAGCCGCCACGGCGGCTCTTATCTGCCTCAGCGTTCCGCACGTTTCCGTCTTATTTACCGGCTGACACGACGATGCAATTTGCAAAATTCTTTACCTTCAAGTGCAGCGTGGAGATAGCGTACTTCTCTTTGGTTTCTCGCTTCTTCAGGGTCACTTGGAAGTCACCGTAGAGTCGGTGACAGTCGGTCACCTCCGACGGTGGGATGTACTCCGTGCATTTTTCCACCCCGTTCTCCACGAGATCGGTCAGCATGATGATCACTTTGCACTGCTGCTCCCAGATCATCCTCCAGAAGTCGGTCACAGTCGAGTCTAATGGCGCTTGGCATGCGATGTAGTACTTTGTCGCGTTCTTCGGGCCCTGAGATACCGATTTAGAGTATCATGCTAGTATGCATTTCGATGTAACGTGCTGTATTTTGCACATTGCGTATATCAATCGAAGACACGTCGGTGATATCATATCATCACTAATGTAATCATAAGACACGATAGTGTAATTGTGTCATTAAGGATTTGCACAGGTTGGTAGGATGAATTTATTGGCTCAAGGAGTGACTCATTTTACGGGCAATTGTCTGAAAGCTGGCGGAAAGAGACGGATAACAATGTGTTGCGCATCCACGTACTGTGCAGACGCAACCATTAACGAAAGAAAAATGCGACGGGTGTTTGCAATGTCCTTAGTACGTTTTTAAGAACCAGGCGCAGCCGTCACGGAGCAACGAGCTCCGTTTTCCGCGGCGATGCGCCTCGCAATACTTTCCATTTATTTACGGACGATTATCGGCTCGCTCGCAGCGCGACCGATTCCATTAGGACGCGCAATCGGGTTTTCGAGGTGTTACACGATCTTGTCGAGTGCCGGGCGGAATTAATTGCACGTCAGACGGCGTTCCATCAGCCGCGTATTAGTGCCCGAACGCTGTGTAATTGCGAGACATATATATGCATATCTATATACATATATATATATAAGCTGGAAAACGCATGGCGAACGCAATCGACTGTATTCACGACACGAAGTGCGTGAAGCCCGGGCGGAAGCGCGCGTCGTAAAGTACGTTTGCCGATCGAGCGATTCGCTCCTAATGGAATCCTCAGCCGCATCCCGACGCGGAAGAAATCCTAACATGTGCGCGCGCGCGATTAATTGTGCTACCGCGGGATACCGTTGCTTTTGAGAGCATACATACGGCGATTTTAACCCTTATTTTAACCCTTATTTTAACCCTTGTTGCGACACTTAAGGTCCAGTGTCCTAACAAACTGTCAAACATCAAAAATATTTTTTTATGTCAATAATAATCATGAATATTTGAAATTTCTTGGAATTCGATTCCATCAAAAAAAATTTCCTGCTTCGACAAAATAAATAAGTCAAAATAAATTTTTTTAAGCGCACGCATCCGAATCAATTTCTTCTTTAAAATATAGTATATGAAAAATATAACCCCGAAGGAATTATTTAAAAATACCAAAAATTATACGAGATATGATTCTCTCTCTTATACGAGAAATGATTCTCTTGTAAAAAATGTCATTTTCAAAAAAATATTCCTTTTCCTTTACGGGTTCTTTTCATTATGTTCATATTAAAATTATTCAAAAAAAGCTGTTGCGTCTTATTTTATAGAAGGTTTCAAAGACATCCTCAATCTTTTTCGAATCAAAATATCCAATAAAATATGTGTGATAACAGTTTTAATCGTCGAGGTCCCCCCGTGTATGATATTAAATTATTCGGAGGTGTGCTCAGTAAGAGGATTAATCGTACCTGTGCATATTTCTGTCGCCCGCGCTTCGTATCGAAAGTTCATTCACCCTGGCGTGCGTTAAAAATCGCTCGGAGCATCGCTAGAGAACAAAATTGCTCGTTGCGTAAAACGTTACGACACACACGCGGCGCGCAACGTTCGCGCGTTCGCAATATCCTCTCGCGATTGACGCAACCGAAGGAATTCCAGGTACAGCGACGGGCCCTTTTCCTCGGCCGTGTCGCTACACTTGCTAGAATTCAAGAGATTCGTCCTCGAGCCGGCCGCTTTTAATCTCCCTCGCGCTCGTTCGCGATTCTCTTTCCCGCGGGACGCGCGACTTTTTGCTCCTTGCCGGAGCCTCTCCTCGCGTCGCCCAACGAAACGCACTCAGAGAAACACTCGTGATCTCCCGGACAAGTGTTCGCTCTGTAACACAATCCCACACATGCGAGCGCGATTAGCCTTTGCCCCTGTGACCCCGTTTGGCGAAACGACGCGATTAAAAGGCGAACTAGTTATTCCGCGAACAATCCCCCGACACTTCCGCGTCTGAGTTCCCAGCTCACGCGATACAATGCGCTCACTTTCCCGGTGATCCCGCTTACGTAACGCTCTTTTTCCCACGCGAAAACGCCTCGCCGCCTCTTTAACGCTTTGACATTCGCTCCGCGTCATTACTCTGACATAATGCGACTTTGCAGAAGTGTCAAATACACGTCGCGTGTCGCACGAATCGCACACGCTATCCGTTTGGCGAATCACCCCTCTGCGTAAGCAGAAATACAGAGAAATGGCGAGTAATGGAGAGAAAGATATTACGTGCGCTAAATACATTAATAAATCTCAATCTGAAGCGCTAATGGTCTCGCTCGCGGGATGAAAAAACTCGGAACTATGAAATTATGTGAATAAATTATTCGCCGGCGATACTTCCTCATCGCGAGTTTGCAAAGTGTAAACTCCGTCCCCTCCTCCCCCTCCCGCTCCCCTCCTCGCCGGGCCCTTTGAAAACCGCTGATCTATGCAAGTGGTGGCAATAATGCACCACCTGCTTCTTCCTCTCCGGAGTGTAAAAGCCTTTATCCGAAGAAGGTAAAGTTGATTTATGTTCCTGGTATTACTCGTTGCCTCGATACACACGCACACAGCCGAGCGGCCATTTTATAGCCATAGCTGGATAACAATACCGCGACGAGCGGGAGAAAGAGAGGTACCGCGCTAAAGTCAATTATCGCTCCGTTACATCCGACGTAAATATATAATTCCGCTTATTATTTGCACAAAAGATCCACAAACCCCGTCGCTTTCCACACAGTTCACGTAACAACCCGGAGACGGAGATGTTAGGAAGAAATGATCGTCGCGATCGTACGGAGAATCGTGATCCCGCGTAGTCCACGATGACGCTGTTTATACGAAAACAAAACGAGCCCGTAAATGACGCGGAGATCGCCTTTTAAGTCTCATAATAGATGATTTAAGTTTTAAGAAATTGATCGATTGTAGTCGAATATTCTTCTCAATATTGTCTGTAATTGATCAATTTCTTAAGATTAAGGCTTAAAACATCAATTTAAGTTGCGATTTCTAGCCTTAAGTAAATTGGGCAATTCCCAACGCGTTAAATAAACATTTTAAATCTTAAGCATTAAGAAACTGACCAGTCACAATCGCGAGCAAAGTTAAGGAGAATATTCGACTGTAATTGGTCAATTTCTTAAAGCTTAAATCATCTGTTGTAGACTAAGCCGTAGGTCTCGCCTAGAATAGATAATTTAAGTTTTAAGAAACTGACCAATTGTAGTCGAATGTTCTTCTTGTCTGTGATTGGTCAATTTCTTAAAACTTAAGGCTTAAAGCACCAATTTAAGTTGCAAATTCTAGCCTTAAGTAAATTGGGCAATTCCCAACGCGTTAAATAAACATTTTAAACCTTCAGCATTAAGAAACTGACCAGTCACAATCGCGAGCAAAGTTAAGGAGAATATTCGACTGTAATTGGTCAATTTCTTAAAGCTTAAATCATCTGTCGTAGACTAAGCCATAGGTCTCGCCTACAATAGATGATTTAAGTTTTAAGAAACTGACCAATTATAGTCGAATGTCTTCTTGTCTGTGATTGATCAATTTCTTAAAACTTAAGGCTTAAAACACCGATTTAAGTTGTAATTTCTAGCCTTAAATAAATTGGGCAATTCCCAACGCGTTAAATAAACATTTTAAATCTTAAGCATTAAGAAACTGACCAGTCACAATCGCGAGCAAAGTTAAGGAGAATATTCGACTGTAATTGGTCAATTTCTTAAAGCTTAAATCATCTGTCGTAGACTAAGCCATAGGTCTCGCCTACAATAGATGATTTAAGTTTTAAGAAACTGACCAATTGTAGTCGAATGTCTTCTTGTCTGTGATTGGTCAATTTCTTAAAACTTAAGGCTTAAAGCACCGATTTAAGTTGCAATTTCTAGCCTTAAGTAAATTGGGCAATTCCCAACGCGTTAAATAAACATTTTAAATCTTAAGCATTAAGAAACTGACCAGTCACAATCGCGAGTAAAGTTAAGGAGAATATTCGACTGTAATTGGTCAATTTCTTAAAGCTTAAATCATCTGTTGTAGACTAAGCCTTATTCCTCGTTAGCCGGCTCGCCCGTTATTCATCAGAGAATTAATTAGCTCAAGCGTCCCCAATTTCCGGAAACGACTGCGAGAGCGCTCGCGCTTGGTGCGTCCATCCCGTCGTAAATATCGTCAGGTCTCCGACGTAGACGCTGAAGCTGCGCCGGGGGATAAAGACCTCCCTTTGAGGAGCGGCGCAACGCGCGCGCGATCGAGACGTCTCACTTACCCGCACGTAACTAGCGTTGATGTACTCGGTCGTGGGGTCGTTGTTCAGCCTCTCCAGTGGCACCCTCGTCTCCGGAAGCGGAATCACGTTAGCGTACCTGTTCTTCATCTCCGTGCCCGGGGGCAGCTCGTCTATCTTCACCGAAACTTGGGGTATATTCGAGAACTCCTCGTTGATTATGTTAACGTCGTTACAGAAAGATAAAATCCCGGCGAAGTTCAGCGGGTGGGATGGTATGGCGCTCTGAAACAAGGGTGCACGTCTTTCACACGGACGCTTCTCGCTCATGGACGCGCGCCTGTGGACCCTCTACTGGCCCTGATAGTGCCGCACAAAAGGAATTACTCGATACCGACCGCGACGGGTGGGATACTTCAGGAAACGTGACGGTGAAATTCGCGAGATTTCATCGAGCGAAATGGCGCGTATCACGTCGGCGGGTTTCAAGTTTCTCAAGTGGCTTTGGCGAAACTATCTCGCGTGGCGAGGAACTAAAGGCACAGCTTTCGAGCGATCTTACAGCCTACACTGGTCAACTACCTACAATTCTGTTATCGATCTGCAATCAAACTGGAACGAGACAAGGATTTAGCAATTTTAGCAGGGGGCGGTCGCATGATGAAAATTTCGTCATCAGCTTCAGAGATATTCCAGGGAAAATTCTATTTACATACATTTCAATACTCTCTCTAGGGCGCATCTTCAAAAATTACTTTCCATCTCCGAAAAATTTATATATTCGAAACCTGAAGATACTTTCGGACCAGGTCATTCCTTACGACATTAGTCGACACGAGCCAACAATATTACAACTCTTCTACTTCATCGAGAGACGTACGCTGTTCCGATATAATGATACAGATATATGAACTAGGAGCGGCATTGTTCTGCACTTTTTACCTGGACGGTTTACTTAGGTCTATACGTTCGTAACACGTAGCAGCTATAAACAGAAAAAGATTATCGCTGGAGTGTCGTCGGAGAAAAATCAAAGAACCGCACGCAGTTGAACCCGAACAATATAACGACGCGACATTCTCTCTCTTTTTCTCGCACACACATACACGCGAGCCGGAAAATCTCCGTGATTAAGCCCCTCGAACTTACCGAATCTTCGAAAGTCGGATTGCCGTAACTTCTTTTGGAGGTTCTCGACGTAACTTTCCGCCTTACGCTACTGTACGCCGAGACACTATCGAGGCTGTAAGCATCCAAGGACACCGGCCGGCAACGTTCTCCATAGTTGAACCTCGTCTGCCTCTTTCTCATTATAAACTGCAAGCAATTAGCGGCAAGATTAATGGCGCGGTGTGTCCGCGGCCGAATAAACGTAAAAGCTCATCTAGCGGCCTACTATTACTTCGCAGCTTCAAACTTCGGCCTGACTCTATCGCGACGTTCTACTGGCCAAGTGGTCTTCAAGTACTCACGATGTCTCGAAATGCGGCGGCGGTTAGCTCAGCGGCCATGCACTGAACCGAGAACTTCTGCTCGTCAGCGTGCAAAACAGATTCGCAAACAAATAATGGCCTGCCGAACTTCGACTCGACGTTTCTCGCTGCGTCCTTCGCCCAAATCGACTTCTTTCATCGGACACGAAAGGGGATCGGGCAAATCCTCGCGAAACGGTGCTAACGCGTTCGAGACACGTAGAGCAGGCGGATCGTTTCGACATCGTTATTCGCATGCACGATCAAGACCGCGGGAGAGAACGCGAGAGAACGCGAATGATAAAGCGCGTCGTATCGCGGCTGAGCGACCGAAACGTCCATTCAAGGCCGAAGGACCACGCGCGCAAACACTTTTTCTGTTGCTCCCGGAACAGAAAGAAAAAGAAAAAAAGGAATGACACATAGAGAGAGAGAGAGAGAGAGAGAGAGAGAGAGAGAGAGAGAGAGAGAGAGAAAGAGGGGGAAGGCTCTCCGCCGTTAATTATGCGTTATCACGACACCGCAAATATGCGCGCCGTTCCGCGGGATTCCCCGCGTGTGTCGCCCGTCGGTATGCGCGCCAACATCTTTCGGAATAAATCATAAGTAGCCGCGCGATACGCGGTGACCGTTAGATAATTTATTTACATCTTCTCTCTCTCTCTCTCTCCCCCTCTTGCTTTTATTTTGCCGTCGCGATTATTTTTAACGTTTTGCGGATAGCGTTTGTAAATTTATCGGTCGCACGTTCGGCTGTCTGATCGATCGCCGTGGTGAGCCGTTTTTCTGTCTGCAGGAAAGATAGAGAGAGAGATAGATAGAGAGATAGATAGATAGAGAGAGAGAGAGAGAGAGAGAGAGAGAGAGAGAGAGAGAGAGGGAGAGAGGGAGAGAGAGAGAGAGGGAGAGAGAGAGAGAGAGAGAGAGAGAGTGCAGTTTCGAAAATTGATGATGTAATATCGTCTTGGCACGCGTTCGGCAATTTTCTTCCTCTCGTTTCTTATCAGCCGCTTCGCGAAAATTCATCGGTTTTGATTTCGCTCCATGTAACACGACTCCGCATTATGCGTTCATTAAAATTAATTGTAACACGCCGCGCGAGAGCCCACGGTTATCGATGATGACCAGAGAGGGAAAATGCTGTGTGGGATATGCAGACTTCGCGGCGAAATTATTATCACCGAGAAGCGACAGTGAGAAAAATCCACACACGCGCGTATGCACATGCGCCATCGATGTGAAGGGACGGATGACATGCACGTACACACAATGTGACGTAAACGTGAGACGCAGAAAGGAGAATCGCGGAAAACAAGCTGGCATTGTAGCAGGTAAGAAAAGAAAACAGAAATGCACAAGTAAAAACAGAAGAGGAAGAGAAGTCACGGGAGAAGACACGCTCGTGTGTCGCAAAACATTGCGCATGCATCGTATTATCGTATCATCCGCGTGACGGAGGAGAGAGAGAGAGAGAGAGAGAGAGAGGGGAGAGAGAGAGAGAGAGAGAGAGAGAGAGAGAGGAGGGGAAGAGAGAGAAAATGTCGTTTTTCATTTGCCAGGCCAGGTGGAGGGACGTGTGTGTGCACAGACATGTTATCATGAACTGTTACATACAATATTACGACGGACGAAGAAGACACCGAACACGTAACGCCTCTCGAACGAAGGTTTATCGCCATGCAAGCGCGACGCAGCGGCCTACGAGTCAGAGAGCATAGATTTTCGCGGACCTGCGCAGCTGAACCTTGAAGAATTAGTACTCCCCATTTCTCTCGACGGGCTTTCGGTGTCGTAACGTGCCACGTGCCACGCGATAACGCTTCAGCGATGAGGGAGATGATGCGGTGCGATGATGCGCGATGATGATCGAGAAGCCGGGCAAAATTCCAAGGTGAGGCGCGAGCAAGGAGGTTTCCCCGCGCACGCGACTGAACGCGATCGAACGCGCGTTGGTCCGGGACAACAAAAAGACAGGTACATCGAAATTTAGAAAATGGGACAAATTGCCGAGAGGTCGGAATCCGATTATCGGAGGCGCAGCTTCACCGGAATTCGCACAGGAAATGTAGTCCGTCGGTGTGATACCAATACCAGCAAAATCCTTCTTCTTGCGACGAGACATGACACCTCGGGAGGATCGCGTCTCCCGATGTCGCACGGTACTTTCACGGATAATGTTTTCGCAATCTTCGGGTCTATGATGCGTCACGACTCGTCGGGCGATACGTCCCAATTTCTGCGAATCTCGAGCTGTCGACTTTTCGAGTCGAGGAGGCAACGCGTGTCCAGCGCGAGGACAGCTCCAGGCTTGAGACTGTTGTTTATGCGATTATGCTGTCTCGCGAAAACGGAATCAGTCTCGCATGCGGGCTAATTCTCAAGACGTGTTCCGAGTATCTTGCGCGAAAGTTTGCGTAGAGGACGAACCAGCGTCTGCTGATTGTGGATGTGTGTGTGTGTGTGTGCGTGTGTGTCAAGAGTAAAAGTGTCCGTGTATACTCGTCGTAAGTTAAACGCTAGGTGTAGTTAAATATCTCTATTTGGAGCTGAATAAACGAGGAAACTTACCAGAAGACCGGCTAAAAGGACGAGACAAATGAAAGCCACGGATGATACTACGACAACGGCTATCGCGTTTCCGGAATCCGTTTCCTGCACCAGCACGAACTTGTGTATCTGAAAAGGATGAACGACACTTTGATACAGGAACCCGCTCTTGCCAGCCGATCGTTCCGCCATTCAGCGAGACGCGATTGAAATTGCTCCGACGCGTCGATCGACCGGTCGCCGCCACCCTTCCTCGTCGCGGAGGAAGGCCGCTCGTCGTCGAAACGTTTCCGACGATAATTGAGGTTTACTCGCGAAGCTGCAGCGAATAGTTCGCCCTCGATTATCGGGGAAGAGGAGAGAGAGAGAGAGTGAAATTTTAACGAGATCAACCGAGCCGAAAGTTATAACAGAGTTCCGCTGATCTCTTCGGCCAGGCCGACTCGTTGCTTTAATCCGCGCCCGACCCCCCCGCCCCGCGTTCTCAACTTACTCTCACTGGGAAGTTGTGCGACACCTTGTATAAATTCGGCAGGATCTTTGTCATAGCGTCGTCGAACTTGCCGTCCTCGTCGACGACGTAAACCAAAATCGATGTCAGGGGCACGTCTGTGGGCGTCGGCGACGAGCTCGCCGGCTCTTGACAAGGGTTCTGGTGGATGACAATTTGCTTCGCCGAGACGAGCCTGCGGGAGAGAGATCAAGCATCGCACCGGTGTGCATGATGATACACATAACGAGCGCATCCTCGGTTAAACACGCTTTCAAGCCTCGACGGCGATACAAACGACGCGACGTTCTCGGCGCTGCGGCGCGGCGCGTGCTGAGTAAATTCATCGGTATTCATTAAAATAAAACTTGTTTCGCGTTCTGTCAGCTCAAAGGGATTCGCAATGCACGCTCACCGCCGATATGATATTACTTCGAACGACGAATATCTGCTGTTTAACGTGCATACATCGTTATTACATAAATCACTCGCTACGTCCGGACGGAAAGCTTTGACATTTAATATTAAATCGCAGTGATGCAATGATGGATAGGTAGATGTATTCGTTGTTTACATTTATATTTATTCAATATTACGCGCCTGAAATATAAATGTGGGATCTCTCTTGCGGAGCGAATTCGTTTAACCCTTAAAAGCTGCCATCAAGCTAACTTTTCTTGTTATTATTTGTAGCGAAGCATACGCGAGAATTCGTCTGTTTTATCATAATGTTGTCACTACTGATAGTGTAAATAAACACCTGTAAAGTCAGCGTGGTTACGTTTTTTAATAAGATAAAAAATTCGCGTGGGGTGAAATTTAAGAACCAGAAATTCCGTTCCCTTCGAGCGAAAGCTTCGGCCTTGTTTACCGTTCACCGTCATGCGAACTCAACCCAACCCTTCTCCCCTCCGTGCGTATATTTATCGAGTATCCCTCAACTTACTTGTCCATTTCGTTGGTCAGGACGTTCGAGAGCGCACTCTTCAGGTCCGGCAGGTGAGGGCAGACCTCCTGCAAGGTGCCTTCGATGATTATCTTCACGAGCGACGTGATTTCGTCCTGCGACAAGATCTGAATATTTTCCGTCCCCTCCTCCTCCTCGGGCGATTCCGTGCTGTTCGGGGTGGGAAGTTTCGGTGGCAAAATGTTCGTGGGCGCGAAGGGGGCCGTAGGGCTCTCCGTGACGTTCGTCGCAGGCGGCGTCGTGACCGGCGGAAGCTCGGTCGCGCCCGGGGCGGAAGTCTCGCTGACGTTTGCGTGGAAACCCGAGTCCTTGGACACGGAAGGATCGTCGGTGACGCCGGCGGTCTCGACGTCGGTGCCGGCGTCGGTGAAATCGATCGCGCTCGTGGTAACTTCATTCCCGCTGGCCTCCGTGCGACCGCTTTGTTCGTCGTCGATGGACCGAGTGGTTTCAGGGGGGAGCCTGCCTTCGGTAGTCTCGTTTATCGTGGCCGCCACTTGATCCGTCGTCGAGGTCTCGTCTTTGAGCGTAGCCGGAAGCTCGCTGGAGTCTTCGGCTCTCGCCGTGGTAATCGGCTCCTCCGTCGAAGCGTTTCCCGTGGAGGACTTTGGGGTCGTCGTGATTCTCGGCGGCATCGTTTGCTCGTCGAAGGTTCGCCCCTGGACGCTCTTCTCCGTGGTGTTGGTGCCGTTCGAAGACGCCACCTCCGTGAGGCCGACAAACTCGAACTCGACGGAAGTGGTCGTCGGGATCGACGTCTCGTCAGGGTCCAACGTGGTGGACGAAGGCTCGCTGCTTCGGCTCGCACCCGCTGCGGCAACCTGCAGCGTCACGTTCGCCCTCTGCGTGGACTCGGTGGTATTCTCGACCGCGCCGGTGATCGCGTTGCTCTCCATTGACTGCGTCATCGAGGTCGTGGACTTGTTCGCTTCGGTCGCCGTGTCCTCGTCTACGGGAACTATCGTGGACTCGGTCACGACGAGGGTCGAGCGAATCATCATAGCCTCTTCCGGTTCAGTCTGGATGTCCGTGTTGAAGAGGGACGCCTTCGGCGTCGACGCGGAGTGCGCCGTCGTCGACTCCGTCGCTTCGTCGGCGCGCGATTTCGCCTCCTCGCCGTCGCCTCGTCCACTCGCAGGCGAGCTGACTTCCGTTATTCCATTTCCGGTCACATCGTAACCGGCCTCATCCCTCATCGCCGTGATCGTTTTCTCCTCCGATCTCGTGACCGGCGCGTCCTTCGCCTCCGCGGGCTTCACGCTGCTGCTCGACTTGTCCGGGAGAGTCTCGTTCGTCGGCCCGATCTCGTCTTGGACGATCGCGATCACCGTCGCCGACGCTAAAGCCGGGCTCTCCGTCGTGGTGTTTGCGGGCTCGCTCCGACCCTTCTCGTCCGACTTCTGCTGTTGAATGCTATTCTCTATTACGACGGAAGCTTCGGTGACGATGAACTTCTTCCCCGACTCTTCCCTGCTGATCGTGTTCTCGTAAGCTGATGTCTCCTCAGCGACGCCGCTGCTCTTCGGCTTCGGGCTGGCGACGGTTGTCGTCTCCGACTGCACCACGCCGGGGTGCTTCACATAGGGGTAAGGCTTCTGAGTAAACATCTCCGTACTCAGGATGAACGGCGTTGTCCCGAGTCCACCGTCGACTCTCGTCGCAGCCGTGGACTTGAGCTCGATGCTCGGGAACTCGTTGACGTCGGAGAAGCCGATAGTCCTGCCCTGCGGAATCGGACTAGGAATGACTCTGGGAGCGGCCGAGGTCTGCTGTTCAGGCTCGATGGCCAGGGTCGTTGTTTCCAGCGGCTTCAGCTGAGCCTCAGGTGTGCTTATCGATTCCCGTTCTTTCGCGTCGCCCGCCCGATGACCCTCGACGCTCGCGTCGTTGGCCGACGAGAGCGTCCTTTGTCCCTCGTGATCTTTGTCCTCGCCGATCGCCATTCTTCTCTTCTGATAAACGACTGCCTGCTCCATGAGTTCGTTGGCACGAGAATCGTTCGCCGCGCTGTCGTTCGCGACAGCTACGATCTTCAGTATCGGCTGATGAGTCACATCCTTCACGACCTCCACCTCCTCCTTCGGGTCGACGGCGGGCTTCCCCGCAGAGGCAGCTTTCGGCTCCTGTTCCGCCTGCGTCCTGTAGTTCACGTACGTGTCGTTAATTAGAGAGACGGCCCCCTCGTGTCCCTTCTCGTCTCCGCTCTTCTCCAGATCGAACGCTTCGGACGCTGATGTGGCGGGTTCGGCCGCGTGCTTCTCGCCCTGAGGCGCGTCCTCGAGCAGAACGCCGCGCACGGTGGTGAATTCCCGGTCACGGCTCTCCAGTCGCCGGTCCTCCGCGACTTCTCGATCAGCGAAGCTGGCTGAGGTCGCGTCTTTTTCCGCGATGACTACCTTGAGATCGGGATGCTCGCCAGCTCTGTCTTCCTTGCCGCCGACGAGCATGGCTTCGTCCTTCCTCGGTCTCGGGGACGTCGAAGAGGAGTCCCCGATTATCGCGGCGTTCACTATTCTCTCCATGCTCGCCCTTGAGTCCTTCTTGTCATCGGAGCTGACGATCGATTGTTCCGGAAACGTGTGATTCCCCAGCGCCGCTCCCGCGTCGGGTTTCAGCTTCCGCTCGCTGCTCGACTCCTCGCCGACGAGCTCCTCGCTCGTTCTCGGCGTTACGGTTTTGGCTCCTTCGTGCTCAAGGGATTCTTCTAGCGTGGTGTTCGCCGGGTTCCTCTTGTTGTCCTGCTTCGAGTCATTCAGAGCTGGCTTCGTAGTCGCTATAGTCAGCTCGTTCGTCCTGGACAACCGGGGAGGTCTCTCGGAGACGGCTTTCGTGCTGATGCTCTTACCGGAGCTTTCGGCCGAGATCTCGCCGTATCTCGGTTTCCTGCTGCCATCCGCGCTCGACGGGTCCTCGATCTGTTCGGCCGAACCGGTCGCTCGAGGACTCGTCTGCGTCGTGTGATCATGCGACGTATCGCTTTTCTCTCCAGCCTGGCTCGCACTTTCGTCATCGCCGGCGTCGCGACGCGATGGCTCCCCCCCCTTGTCGCGCGCCTCGCCGCTTGTCAACTCGACATTTTGTCCATCTTTCTCCCCGATTGACTGAGCCTGACGACCCGGCGAGACCCTCGTCAAGATCGTCGCAGCTCCCCGGGGGGTCGGCGCCGCCTGATAATCAAATCTCCCGGACGGAGTGGTCGATGCTTCCGCAAGCTCCTCCGCGAGCACGTCGCCGAAGAGCAGCAGAGAAGTGCCTAGAACAGCCGAGTTTTGTCCGGTTACTTTAGCCCGCGCTCGTCTTCTGTCCCGCGGGACACGCAGTGGTCTCTTCGCGTGTTTATTCTCTACTTGCCTGCAACTCGTTCGCTTCAGGCAGTTCCCTGTGCGATCGCCTAATTACGTTATTCGACAGTGGAACAGCGAGGTGTTGTGAGGCAACAACAAGGTAACATCGGCCGGTAATAAATGTGTATATGCACACACGCCGGACAGAAGTCGCGATAACGACGACGACGACGACGACGACGACGACGACGACGACTGGTTTCCCATGCGCGCCCGCAATAAAAATATGGCGAGCGTAGATGAGGCATTTAATGGATCGAAAAACCGGTTGTCCGTGGAATTACCGGCGCGTTACTTCGGAGCTCTATTCGCGCGATACAGTTTAAGTTCTGCGGAGAAACGAGCATCGCCGGCGCGGATAGGAGAGAGAGAGAGAGAGAGAGAGAGAGAGAGAGAGAGAGAGAGAGTATTTTAATATTAAACAGACCTCGGAATTATGCAGGCGACTTCGAGTGTGTTCTCGTGTTTTGCTGATCTATGTCGATACGACATTCCTCTCTCTCTCTCTCTCTCACTCTCTCGATCGGAGCGCCGAAATAGAGGTAAATATTCATTTTATCTGCGCGCGCGCACGTGAGGATTCGCAGTGAGAATTTTCCATTCGATTTCCGCGTCGGATACCCACGTCCGTTGGTTGCCGCGTTTGCCGCAACGGATGCTGAAGATTTCATGCGCGAATTATCGATCTCCCTCGAGCCTGTTTGGGGAAATAATGAATCGCCGTTTGCCGCGTGATCGTGCGCGTTTGGTCCTTTTAATTTTTGCTACCCATGCAAACGAACGATCCCGCGAGAGCCCTTTTGCGACTTGAGCTCGCTTCTCTCGGGCACTTTTCGGCGGAAGTATCGCGAGAGCGCCGCGCGCGTTCGTATGAATATTATATTATCCTGTCAAGGGATTATCCTGTCAATAGCGCATTTCCGCAGTCGCCGCGGAACGTTCCGGAAAGCAGTCGTTGCGTTGCGATGCATTGCGATGTTTATACGTACACTGAGTTATTGACGTGGCGATATTTATCGCACGATAATGGCGTCGCGATACTTATCGAAGGAGGCTCCGTTGATCACGCGTCATCTCCCGTCGAATATTCGAAGATAATTAGGTTCCGACGCCCCCATTGTAGTTTCATGGTCATTTTTGTCAAGCGCTTCCTGATTCTCTGTTATGATAATTGGAACAAGCAACGGTTTATTCACGCGGCGTCCGCCTTTCGGTGTAACGACCGCTTCTCAACTTGTAAATTTGTTCGCGACCGTTGTAGCGTAATCGCTGCAAACGCGTTCATGTGCAATCACCTCCAATTAACCGATAATATACATAAGCAAAGATTAGCCGAGTAATGGCATCATGAACGATACGAAACGATGTATTTGATATGGCCGACATTTTCGCTCGCTTTAGAACACAAAATTAACCCGGCGTCATCGTGATGGTAAAATGTTGCACGTTGGGGCGGATCATGATGATCTGATTATTGTTTGGTCCACCCTCGCAGTATCAACTCTGGTTTCGGAAAGCTAGTAGTTTTTATGGAACAGTAGTGTAGTCTCTTAATAATTTGATGAAATATTTAACGACTTTAAAAACGTTTCGGGTCGCCATGACCTAGCCTTAATGACGCCGCGTTAAGGAAATGTGTAGCGTGTTATTTTCATTTCCCCGCTCAGAGAGATTTTAATTATCCGCCCGTTGAATTAATTATCCGTCGTTAAAATAATTGGCTGCGTTATTACCGGTTGCGTCACCGGCTTAGATTCTACGAGCATTAATTTCTAGTAAATTCACAGAGTTCCTGCGTTGAACTCCGGAGCTGAGAATTCTTAAGAATCCTTAACCTACCTTTGACTTAGCTGAGTGAGGTGAAAAACGTCCGCTGTAGCACTCTGCCAATTTTCGGTAAAATCTCGCTTGCATCTGCAGCAGCCGATAAAATCCGCGCCGGCCGATGCATCGCGAAATCGCGGTCGCTGCGTTTTCGGGATTTTCCGTTTCGCCCAAACCGGCAGACGCACGCACGCGCGCGCGCGCTCACAATAAACGAAAAGAGGCCGGTCGCGTCCATCGGCCATATAAGGCGGGGCGGAAAATTTTGTTAAGCCGCGAGTTACAGTTAACTCGCCGGCCGGGCGCGTTGAAGTAAACCTAACAGTACTCGGTGCAGTCACCTCGATTGGCAGGCTTTACATCGCGAGTTCACAATGCAACAGGATGCCAGCTGAGAGAGATTCTACTCCGTTCTCTCGTCCCTCTCCTCCCTCTCGCAATTGACGGTAATGCCGATACGCGCGCTGTGCTCGCGCTCGAAATGAAAATTGTGCGCGCATGATTCGCTTAAAAGCGCCGAGTGCTTTCCTCATTACCCTTCCACGGCGATGCGAGAAGGATTACGAGTGGATGCGCAGTTTTCTCGTTTATCGCAGAAGGAGAGAGAGGAAGAGAGAATATCTCGAGAGCAGAGTCGCTTCTCTTTCCTCCAGTCTTTTCGTTTGATCTTTCTCCAAGTGAGCGACTCACCTATGCATACCCCCAGTGCGAATACGATCGTTCTTCCGCCCGTCATTTCTACCCGTAGATCTCCTCGCTCGATCTGCAACACAAATCGATCGACAAGTTTACTCACACGGTGCGTGCGCTCCCTTATTGCGAATGCTCGTTTAAAGTGTCGCGAGACGTTAATCTTATCTCTCGCGAACGCCAAACTCCATCTCGTGTATCTGCAAGTAAAATATTGATTCAGGTTTAAATCAGACGGAGGAAATTTGTATGGAGGATACGCGTTCTCGGGCAGAAACATCCTCGGCCTAAAAATTCTCCGTCTTTTAGGCACGTTAACGATATCAGTATGCGGATGACGTATGCGCTGCTGATTAAAATTCCAGAAAAAGTGCCGACCACGCGAGTGCTCGGAAACGGATACAGTTGGTCGCACGTGTGCGTATACACAGGCATGGTTTTCAACATTGCGAAGATGACCCCGTTTACGAGCCTGTTCACCTTAGGGAGTATATCATAAAACTCCAGGCCGCAATGCAGCGCGCGGGCGCTTTATTAAAAGTTTTCACCCGGCATTTGCAACGTGGCGCAAAGGCGACGCGACAGGTCGGTCAAGGATTATCGCGAATGCGGATTCTGCGGCGATTCGTCCCTCCGCCAACGTTTCCAACGCCGAGCGCTCGTCGCGGCGTCACTCATTAACGCTCAATCCAATTTCGCGCGGAATCGGGTAACCTGCGGTTCGGTTTCACACGAAAGACGAAGACGCGTATCGCGAGTTGCGCAATTAATGGAGAATAAAGTTTCTCAGATACGCAATTCGAATTGAACGCGATTCGAGTCCGCGAAAGGGCCAATATCGCGGTTTTCGCGAGCCTCCATCGCGCTCGATTGTAAATTACACAGCATTGATATGTGACGCGGAAAAAGCAATTCTGACGCAACTCCGTTGCTGACTTCTCCGTTGCACGTTGGGATAGTTAAGAGCCGAATGGAAAATACTCGGCTGCAGGAACAAAGATTGCCGCGGGAACTTTCTAATCAGTCGTTCGGTCGTCGAGATGATTTCAAACGAGTTTTGATACAGCCGACTGTCGAGCCGGCAGTCGAGTGTTTTCGGCCACGCTTTATCCTCGTCACCGAATTCCCGACGAAGATGCGTGAGCGCCATGGCCGATCCACCGTCCGCGGCTGATGGACGGCGCTAAAGAAAGCAAATCGCGCCAAAGCCCAATGGCAATTATTCAATTTCCATAATATGTAGGTTGGTGCATCCCGCCGCTCAACGCCTCGTTTGCTGCACGAACGCGCCCGGCGGCCTGCGCGTTGTATCGTTTGTTGAACGCGCGCCGCCGACTCTAATTGTGTAGAAAGTAATCGTAGAAAGTGTACAGTACACGCTCGCCCTCGCCCGTATCGCGCTGTTACGTCGGATACGGTCTCGTCCTGCCGGCGACTCCAATTTCTTCAGCCGCGATTCGATCATCGCGATCGAGCCGCATCGACGCGGAGGAACCGCGAGGAGACGGCCTGTCTTCGCCTCCGTCGCTCCTCTTTAGCAGTCGTAAACAAGACCGCCGAAGAGACTAATAAAAAAACCCGCGTCATCTTTTCGGCTCAGTCGAGCGAACGCGAAGCTATAGCTCAGGTCTGCCTCGCGAAAGTTTATTCCGCCTTATCGGCGCCCTTATTTCGGGCCACGCCGCATCAAACACGGCCACTCGCGCTTCCTTATTAGCTCCGAGCCAGCCGGCAGAGCGTGTCCGAAATATTTATTAAATCCCACACATAGACGGCTCGTGTAACGTCGCGCCGAGTGTGTCGCATGAGCGACGCTTCATAAAACGCCGGCGACAATTGGAAGCCGCCCGCTGCACGGGTGAAGACGTAAAACGAACAGGCCCGGCCCGGCCCGGCTCGGCCCTCGTCTTTAACATGGTGATCGCGCAGTTAACGGCCCGTGTAATTGACGGGTCGGTTCGTACGGTAAGCTGCGCGTTTCGAGCAAATTCACGCCTTGATTGAGCGCAGGCAGCCCCGGATACGGCGTGGGAAAAGATCGCGATCAGTCGCCACGTGGGCGCGCTCTTAATCGTGCGAATGCAACGCGCTCGGAGCCAACGTCTGGTGAAGAGTCGGTCCTTTGAGATCCCCTCAGAGAGCTAAGAGGCGTCTTTCATACGAGCTCACACGAGCGTGTCTTCAAGACGTCTTTCAGACATCTGTGCCGTCCGGGTGATCACGTCCGAGCGGCTCACGTCGCTGAGACAAACTGTATTCGCACCTTTTCGACCACTTTCGACACTCCATTTCGCCAGGTAGACGGGAAGAAAGCTCAGTTGGCGCGAATGGGGGACGGAGGAGCACTTCTCGGTGACGAGAAGTGATGCCGCGGCTGAAAATAAGCTCGTCTAAACTTGCGCTTGTGCTGAAACTCGGCGGAGATAAGTAAGAGCAATTGACCGGGTAGAAACCGAGCGGAAGTTTCCATCCGGTGGCCCCTCAGGCTCCTCGAAGGATCCAGTCACGTTAACGGACTTATCTTTTCCCGAGCCGAGGAGTTACGGCCGCGCTCGAGTGCGACGTATTTTTCTTAGGCGCTACGTCTCAGAGGAGACGAAGTATTTATATATTGATGAGCGAAGAAGATGCCGCTGAGAGAGATGTGGAGCGATTTTCAGGTATAAATGAGCGCTCGAGCGATAACGAGATAAAGGAAAGCGAACGCGCTGCGTAGGCGGACGTCGACTGCAACGAACGCGCCCGTCGAAGAGGTCGAGCGCGCAATTACGATATTTTTCTCTCGCCACGTAACTTGTGTGTGTGTGTATGTGTGTGTGTGTGCGCGCGCGCACAAGTTTCGACTGAGCCGCAATCGGCGCAAAACGTCTATTCGCAGAGCTTCGGCTGCACCTTGAGTCTCCTCGCATGGCCGCAGCCATGACGCTCTTACGCTCGCCAGAGAAATTCCCTCGTTTCTGATGCCATAAATGCACGGAGCTCGGTAGTGCCGCAAAGATCGGCGGGCAGAGAGCGTCCGTGAGGCCGAAATATGCCACGAAAGAACGCGGCAGTACACACGCTGGAAAATCAGCAAAGCCCGCCATCCTGCGCTGTCAAAGGAAAAGAGGGAGAGAGGAAGAGAGAGGGAGAGAGAGAGAGAGAGAGAGAGAGAGAGAGAGAGAGAGAGGGAGAGAGAGGCGCTCTTTCGCGGAAAAATGCGCAGGAGCAAAGCAGTTCCTCCTCCTCCGCGTCGCTCGTAAGCAAGCAATCAGGTAGGGGGAGGCGTATACAAAATGCCCTGTTTTGCATATTTTCAATACGAGAGACTGCTCCTGTCGGGCGATGCGGAATCGTCGCGCCGCGGCCGCGGCGAATTAATCCGTCGCGCGCAAGGGGAAAATAACGGACGCGCGCTCGAGGAAGCGCGAGTTTTGCTTAATTAATCGACGCAGATTCAGACGGTGTCGAAGCCGCAGCACGCTGGACGCGCATTGTGGACAGTCATGTGTGCGTGCGTCCTCGTGCGTGTGCTCAGGGTTCGTACGTTACGTCGTCTACGACGCAGCCCGTGGGGATTATTCAGCTGGCGCTGGTAACCGCGAAGGAGGTCGACCTCGAGGCTTGTCAATTAAATTAGTACAAGTTGGCCCGAGCCTCGCGGGGAGCCTAGCAACTCTCTCTCTCTCTCTCTCTCTCTCTCTCCCGTGCGCGCGTTGTCACCTACGTGCGTGGAATCTCGACGAGCCGATCTCTTTGTGCGCTGCAAACAGGCTGCAAACGTACGCGAGGCTTGGCACGCTGCTTCCGAATGTTTGCCCGGAACTTTGAATCCCGCTGTTTACCGTGACCCGAATAAACCGAATATCGAACAGCCGGGCTATCCGGTTATTGTAATCCAATGTTCCTCGCTAGCTGAGTGCGCGCGCAATACGCCAGTACGGTTTGCATATCGGGCGGCGCGCGCCCGTTATTTACGTTCGGTGTTTATGCCGCTCGCGAGGAGGCCGCGCGATTAGTCTTCTTCTCTTCTCTCGGGAGATATATATCTTTCTCTCTCTCTCTCTCTCTCTCTCTCTCTCTCTTTCTCTCCCTCTCACGTAAATATTCGCCGAGATACCCGCATAGGAAATTTCCCACGATCCAATTGAGATCTGCTGCCATTTCCCGAAATCTGCGCGGATTCGAGAGCTGGAAGCTGCAATGCCTCAAGTTTCGCGAAAAGCGAAGAGGAAAACTTCAGATCGTCCCGGTATTTGTCCCGGTTTGTCCTCATTCCTACGTTAGAATTCTATTCTTTCGACTTTACCGAAGCGTTACCGACTGCAGGACAACGCGACGGAGCTGTGCTTGCCGGAGATAAGAACGGGATTTCCGGTCGGACGGGCAATTTTCGGACAAATCTGGCCGCCTCCGTCGGGCTCCGATCTGTGGCTCGCCCGGGAAATTTCCGTGCGTCAGACACAAAGACCCCCCCCCCCCCCCGGCACCGTCCGTCTTGCAGCGGGCGTATTACGACGACTACCGTTATCGCCTCGGCCCGCGTCCCGTTGAATTCACCTGTCGCCACGCAAAACAACGAACGGCACGCGTCCGGCGAGCGGCAGCAGTCGACGAGGCCAACGGCGGCCGCTGCGCGAAAAGCGGAGTGCATAGTAAAAGGATGCCCGGCGCTCTTTGTCCGCGTTGATTGAGTCGCTTTTCCGCAGGCGCCTCGCGACAAAACGGACGTTCCCCTTTCCCCGGGCCATCGCGAGTCGTTTATCTCCCATTCGGGCGTAGAACGGGAATCGCTGAGCGATGGATAGAAAGTTTAGTAATTCGGAGCGCGAGAGCGAATCATGCCGGCGGATGATATCCTGCGTGCCGAGGAGAACTCTCGCAAAACAGGCCGAGAAAAAATGTGTCGCGCACGCGGAGAAAATCGGCGAGGTGAGGAGCGTCGTTCGTTCATCGAGTTTTTTCAATCTCCCGGTGTGCGAGCGACCTTTAACTCCCGCTGCATTAGATGCATCGCCGCTCTGATAAGCGCCAGTCCTGTCGTGCAATTTTATTTCTCTTTGTCCTCCTCGGTCGCTTTTACGTTCGATGAAGCGCGAGCGCTTCGTTAGCATCTCA